TGGTGAATCACAATTTTGTGGTTGTGAATTCGGACTCATTACGAGCGGATCTACTCTTGGGAATAGATTTTCTGCGCCAATATGGTATAAAAGTAGATTGGCAAAATAATTGCATGTACGCTTTCGAAAAGGAAATACCTTTGTATGAAGAAAATTGCGAAGACCAGGATTATTTGGTACAAACAGTGGAGAAAGAATTAAGAGAAAAAGTTAAAAACTTAGAAAATGAGCTAAACGAGCTAAGGAAGTATGTTGAGAAAAGAGATTTGAGTTACGAGCGCGACAAAGAAAGGGAAATAACGATTAAGTACGCGACAGATTTTGGAAAACAAGATTCGACATCACTGCACATGACGAAGGATCAAAGTTTTAAAGCGATGTGCAGCCGCTGTGAAACTAACACCAACCGTCCAAGTAAATATTCTAAAAATCATGTTACTACTTCATCGGGGAAGCTAGCTAGTTCCCAACAGTCCCCTAATTCTCTCCGGACTCAAGAAAAAGAGAAAGGAATTACGGAAAGTTCCTTAGAAATTCCAGGAAAGCCTATGGAACCTAATGAAGAAAAGTTTCTAGTTTCTCTACGAGAAAAGATAACGATACCGCCGATGAGTCAGGCAGTATGTTTTGCAACACTGAGAGGAGCATCAAGGGTTAAGGCGCAATACGTCGTTATCGAACCGCGTGATGATGTTTTATCAGGATTGTTAGTTGCACGAGTTTTATGTGAGAAAAAGAAAGACATCCCAGTGAGACTATTGAACGTAACCGAGAAAGAATTGACCATAAAAGGTAAATCTATAATTGCCGAAGCAGTTGACGCTGACATCGAAAAAAGTAATAAAGGAAAGGACACAATTCAGATAAGAAATATTGATAGAAAAGGAATAGAAGAGATTTTGGAAAGTTTACAATTGAAAAATACTATGACTCCGCAAGATCAAAGACTACAAAAACTTGTACTTGAATTTATTGATGTATTTAAAGCACCAGATCAAAAATTAAGTTGTACAACCCACGTCGAACATAGGATTATTACTGAAAATGTACCACCAATCATACAACGACCGTATAGAGTGCCATAACATAGACAAGAAGTGTTGAAGAAAGAAATTCAAAAATTACTAGACGACGGAATTATTGAAGAAAGTCAATCGCCTTGGAGTTTCCCGCGATACTAATAGAAAAGAAAAGACATCCAGGAGAGGACGTACAGTATAGACTAGTAATAGACTATCGCGAATTGAACACGATCACAAAAACAGATTATTTTCCTCTGCCAAATATACAAGAAACTATAGACAAACTCTCAGGATCAAATTCATTTTCTACAATGGATTTAGCGTCTGGATATTTTCAAGTACCTTTACATCCGGAAGACCAGGAGAAAACTGCTTTTTCAACTCCTGACAACCATTACCAATTCTTACGAATGGCGATGGGATTAAAAAATGCACCAGCCACATGGAGCCGTATGATGAACCATATCCTAGGAAAATTAACATATACCGAGTGTCTTGTATACCTAGACGACATAATTGTATTTTCAAAAGACGTAGATACACATTTAGAACGATTGAGGCATATCTTTGAAAAATTACGCGAAAGTAATTTAAAGTTAAAACCAACCAAATGTCACTTTATGAAAAAGGAAATTGAATATTTGGGACATTTGATATGCGAAGGTGGATACACGACCCATCCAGATAAGACAAAAGTGATAAGGACTTATCCAGCACCAACCAATATAAAGGAAATTCGAGCCTTTTTAGGACTTTGTGGTTTTTACCGAAAATTTGTACCAGATTTTTCAAAAATTAGTCAACCGCTTACTCACTTAACCAAAAAGAATGTCAAATTCCAATGGGAAACAGAACAAGAAAATGCATTTCAGACACTGAAAAATTCACTTTTATCACCACCAATTTTGAAGTACCCAGATTTCAGGAAACAATTCACACAGATGCGAGCGCAACCGCTATCGCAGCAATTTTAACCCAAGAACACGACGGAAAAGAGCACCCAATTTGTTACTCAAGTAGAACACTAAATGATGCAGAAAGGCGATATAGCACTATCGAACGAGAATGCTTAGCCATAGTTTTCGCAGTAAAAACCTACCGTAATTATTTAACGGGTACCCATTTTATTATTATGACGGATCACAGACCTTATTGACGATAAAAGATGCCAGTTCTAGGTTACCGAAATGGGCCATGTTTTTGATGGAATATAGCTTTACAATACAGTACCGAAAAGGCAATTTAAATAGCAATGTAGACGCTTTAACTCGTTTGCGAAATGAAGAAGAAACCCCAGTGGTAGCTGCGATAAATAAAGAGTACGAACAAGAATTGAGACCGGTGTCAAACGCAATTTGGACCGAAAGGGAAATACAAATACTACAAGAAAATGACGACTTCATAACTAGGATCAAAGAAAATTTGGATAATGAAACTTCACCGTACCTTATAAATAATGGAATCATTTATAAGCAAAGGGAAGAAAGGCAACGAAACGATAGGATTTTGGCACCAAAGGAAATCGTTCCTGAAATATTGAGAATCTACCACAATGCCATATATTCTGGGCATCCAGGACAAAAGAAAACTAGACAGATTATAGAGAAAGATTTCTATTGGAAAACTATAAGCAAGTATGTGAAAGAGCATGTCGAAAAATGCCAATCATGCAACCCACATAAAACAAATTATCAACCACCCGTAGCTATGCAATAAAACATAGTACCACCAATTCCTTGGGGACGAATTAGTATGGATATCGTCGGTCCTCTGAATAAAACAAATAATGGCAACAAATACATTCTAACATGCATAGATTTTCTGACAAGATATCCTGAATGTATACCAATACCTGATATTAAGGCCGAAACAGTAGCAAAGGCTTTCGTAGAAAATATTATTTGTAGATTTGGGGCTCCCAGAGAGATTTTAACTGATTGCGGTACCCAATTTTTAAGCAAGTTATTCACAGAAATTTGCACCATATTAGGAATCAGAAAATTGAAAACAACCCCTTATCACCCGAGTGCGAATGGAATTATAGAGAGATTCCACAAAACCATAAAGACCATGATAAGTCACTATGTAAACGATCACAATGACAGTTGGGATGAAGTATTACCATTTTGCTTATTAGCCTACAGGAACCTACCGCATGAAGCTATGCAAGATTCCCCATTCTTTCTTATGCTTGGGCGAGATATGGAACTCCCTGTACATTTAATGATTTCAAATGGACCAATAAGATATAACTTAGATGAAAATTATGTCACAGAATTCGTAACAAAAATGCAAAATGCCCATGAACTAGCAAAGAGAAATATAGAAGCAAGTTTTTGGCTGTAGAGCAAAAAAACTCTTTGGTACCTAGTTTTATTCTTCGCAATAATTAAATTACTGTTTACTTATTAATTTTGCTTCATTAACAAAAAAATTATGGTTTACAATAATTATTCATCTCGCGAACTCTTTGGAATATTCCGGGAATAGCTTCTACATGGGTATAACTCGCCAGTATCTTTGCTAACAGATCTTCCTCATTATACGAATAGGTGTTTGGTGTTTCGTAGACTGAAATTTTCAGTCAATGACCCGAAGGTATAATCTTTGCATTGAAGTAAATGGTCAACATTTTGAACAATTATTGTAAACCATAATTTATTTGATAATAAAGCAAAATTAATAAGTAAACAGTGATTCAATTATTGCGAAGAATAAAAATATCAAACAGTTTTTTTGCTCTACAGCCCAAATGGCTCATTTGCGGACGTATGTTTATATAAACAAAAATGCTTGTTTTGATGTCCCCTACTACCCCTTAAAGTTTGTCGGTATCTTTTTGGGACACCCTGTATAGATAAAAATAGGAGATAGCTATAGGAATTATTAACTCTAAGTACATAGGAAATAAAGAGAAAAAAAAATAAAAAATTTACTAATGGAAGGTTATTGTTGCAGAACTAAGGTGGTCAAGAGATAAGGAACGAAAATCCACGCACAAATGACCACTATGAAAGTTTAAAGCCTTTGGACTCAGATTGTGTGTGTGACCGCCCTGGTAGCCTATGATTGTCAAAACCCGTCGACCAATATTACCGTTATTTCATTGAGAGGAATAAAACCATGTCCTGACCCTGAAACAGGATACCACACTGAGGAAAGTTACGTCCAAATAATAGAGAAGAAACGATTTGAATTCGCTCAAGTACGGTCTTGCTTAGTTGAAGTAGTAAGACTAATAAGTAGTTGCGGAATGTTTTCCCATCAATCTAACGTAGAAGGGGGACTTTTAACTTACGTACATGAACTATCAAGGGACGAATGCGTTCTTGTACACGCATACCGACAATTTAAGGGGTTCGATGGACACATAATTGGCAGATTGGTACCAAATTCCAGTATCCACTAGTCTAGTATTTTCGGGAAAACTTGATGATCACGGGAAATGCGCCGGAGCAGTATACCATGAAGATGGAAAATCGTGGGAGAATGTTGTAGTACAGGCAGATATCAAGGTGACCTTACAAGATTATTACACAAAGGTATCGTTAGAAACCAATGAAATACATCTGAGAAATGGAGTCGTATGCCCTTATATAGAAGGAAATTGCCAAGACAGTGTAAATGGAGTTTCTTCTTGGGAGATAAACCGCCCGAAGGACTGTTATCAATACAACATTGTATACGAGGGTGACGCCACTAAAGTACGTGAAAAGGACACTGATAAACAGGCCTTGTCTTTCATTGTAGTCGAGGCCCATAAAGATATATTTGCAGTACAGCTTGTGCAGAAAGAAAAATTATGTGGAGAAGAAGTATGGCAGAGTGAACATCCCAGATTAATCGTGCTCATATAGCAAGCGGCCACTCAAGTGACTATTTTCTCAGTTAACAAAATCCTCGGATGCAGATTCAATAACGTACGTTAATACGAAATTCCTGTATGTGGAACAATCTTATTAAAGAGGAATCAACAGCATGTTCGCGCAGACAGTATACCGAAGATGCCTGCTACACAGAAAAATTCTGGAAAACAGACTTATATTAATGGCACTTTCACCTAACGCTGTCGCCCCGTTAGTAAAGAATACCTTAGGATACGTCGCAAAAGTCGCCGGGGAAGTGGTTTACCTGATGAAGTGTGTCGAAATAACTGTCGAGCTAAGGAGAGAATCCCACTGTTATGAAGAATTACCAGTAACAGCCTATAATAAAAGCTACTTTATGACCCCGATCACAAGAATTTTACAACAGCACGGAGAACAGACGGAATGCAACGCTCTTATTCCACCCCTATATAACCTAGATAACCAGTGGGTAGGATTTGACCCTTCACCCTCTACTGGAATCATCCCCCGTGAGCTAGAAGTCGACGCCGAAGAAAACTACCCCCTCATGTCGATTAAAGATTTAGGAGCTGGAGGGATTTATACGGATAGTGAAATCCGCAGGGCCCAAAACGAAATGATTTTCGGCCACGAAAGAAATGTACTAAACAATCTAATTATTCGAAAAATGGCTGGGCAGACAGTCCAAAGTCAGGGATTCTCCTCTTTAAACTTAATTGACAAAGAAGAACTAGAAAATTTGGCAAATAGTACAATACAGAAACTCTATGGGTACTTCACCATTATAGGAGAATGGACCAGTGGATTCCTTGGTATTTATTTCATAATACGAATTATAAAATTCTGCATTGAGACATTTATGAATGCAATAGCCATTCATAGGCTAAACGGATGTTCGTTCCATTTATTAGCATCCTTTTGGGATACGCTTACACTGTTCTTGCTTCATCACAAACAAAATCAGGCAACCAAAGAAGTTATAAAATTGAATAAAGCCGCCGAGGAACAGTCACCATCCCTCTCAGACCCGAATATAGCGCCCATAAATATCGAAATTGTACAGGAAGGAATACAAACGCCAGCACTTAACCCTCAAACGTCACCTCGTGCTTTTGCTAACCTGAGAAAAGAATTGGCTAGACTACCACCAGTTAATTGGAACTTATACGGACGAAAGGAATAAATCAACAAGTTTATGGCCATTTTAAGAATGCTCTTAGGATCTGTATCAGGGATAGTCAAAACAACTATCCACTTAATTGAATAGGGCGTCGGTATAAATGATCTAGGATATAGTTAAGATTTTTAAAAAATATTTCACTGATGGCATTAGGGCAAATATTATAATTAAAGACGAACCGTCGGTAGGAAGAAGCCTCTATAGAGGTATAATAAAATGACATTTTATGAGAATTTATGGAAAAATAGGGATAGGGCTGCCGACAGGTACATCACTTTTGAGTTTTTTTTAAGTGCTTTACTTAACGAACTAAGTATGTGAAAAGTTCGTTTATATCATGAGAACCAGGGTAACATTTGAAAATAGGGATTAAGGTGGGGAATATAAAAAGGGCCAAACCACCCTGAGAAGATAGTCTTACGCATATCGCGATGCGACGAAGAAGTGATTTCCAAGCAAAAATGGCTTTGTTCTTTAAATACTTACCCTTAATCAAAAACCCTGTAGAGCGCCTCCGTATCATCGACTTGGCCCGGGAGATGTGTGTACAAGTCTATACCAATCTGGCAGGTGAAGGAATGAACCATCCTGTTTTCAATGAACCAAGAGCTTTGATTCTCCTCTGGATCGAGTTACTTGAAGTGGAGCAACACATATCAAGAGGATTGTTATCCAATACGGGTGGGTGGTACTGCAATTGTACGGTGTGTCAACGGCAACGCGTACTGGGTAATCCACCCACGGAACCCCAGCCATCGGGTTCCCAACCTCAAGCTGCTGCAACGTCGCAGGACAGAGGACCCCGCAGTCAGTCAAATGAATACGAGGAAATGGAAATAATGCAACCGCCACCTCTGCCTGCCAGAAATGCGTCGGTCGCTCCAACAAGACGACCACCTCGCCTCAGCCCAGTAGAACCGTCCCCCAACTTCCGAATCCGACCACCAACGGCGATACCAACAATGACCATCGAACCATTAAACCGCTATCGGAGATCTCGGGCAAGGGGGCCAATCCCTGTGCCCAGGTACGGCGTTATGCGACAATCCGGGCTGAGAATGCAGCTACGGAAAGAAAATGACGAACCACCCAAGAATCAGTGAAAAAAATAATAAAAACAATTTCAAGGTATAAATCATGTAGTAGTTATATTAGTACGTAGAAATAGACTAAATTTAAAAATTAAGCTATATATCAAGTAGTTATAATAATATGTAGATGTAGACTAACATAAATTATAAGCAAGGTATTATGTTTGTTATTAACGTAAGACTATAAGGTTAGTTTTATAGATATCTATCAATAACCCTTGTAGATATTTTATGAAAATAGTATAGTAGGTACATATAGTGTAAATTCTAGATTGCATATTCACATTCCAAAGAAAAGAAAAATACATAATGTAAAAATAATTGAGTGAGTGGAGTATAGAATTTAACGTAAGAAAATTTCACAACAGGGCCAAACTTAATTACCTTTCGCGAGTAAGATATATTTTTCTCGCTGACCTCATGACGAATCCTTACCAGTTGCTGCTTCATCAATCTGAGAATCAAAGATAGAAAGTAATCTCAATTACATATAATTTCGATTAAAAAAAAAAGTGGAAGGAATGTAGAGATTACAGAAATTTTAATCAAGAAATAACAACCAACCCAAGAAAGACCATCACTCAAATAGCTGATCCGCAAACTTTAAGAAAAGTAACTGAACATTGAAATCTACTACTTTTTTTTAAAGTGCTTTCCGCAATTAGCATTCCAACGTATCCGAGATTCCTAAAGACTCCATAAATCATACGCACGAGCCTATATGATGCTACCGCACTTAACAAAACCACTTAGCGACGCCCTTGATAATTAATTGACAGGGGACCAAATACACTAATTGATCGGATGATTCAACCACGTTACATCGAGGCCAGAAAAAACAAAGAGCTTCAAGACAATGGGAGACCAACGATATAAAAGGCGACTTTTGCAGAACAAGAGTTCGGTAGAGAGTCAAGTAGACGATATACAGAAAGTCCAGTGTACGGTAAAGCTTTAAACAAGAAAGAGTTTAATTCAAGAGTCGAGCATCCAGTGACATAGAAGACAACAAAGCCAGAAATTACGTCGAACTACGGTAGTGAACGAGAGAAGAAAGTCGCCGCGAAATAAGACTATAACGAGGCAGCGCGAAAATTTTCCAGTTTTATTAAATGTTCATGAGTAAATTAAATTCCATCGACCTATAGAAACCCCGGTAATTAAGTTTGTGCCATCAGTAGATATAACTCAAATCAATCTGTAAGTAATCTTATTAGTTTTATGTCAGGCTAGGATTGTATTGTCTAGAAATTGTATAGGGTTGTAAATTTGGCAAGAGTGCAAGGTCTAGTCAAACTGTGAATTAAACTTCAGAATTTTGTTGCATACTAGGGAAATTTAATCATTTTGTGGATATATTTTGGGGAAAAACTTTGCTTAAATAATTTATAGAGAAATTTTGACAAAATAAAAGGTTAGGTATTTAGAGAAGAATTTATTGTAAGATTTATCACCGACGCCTGTGTTTAACAAGTTATTTTTTTTTATATATATAAACATTATTTTAATTGACCACCATATTTCTGTGTTTTACTCTCACACCCGCAAATAGGACCCTCACATCAAATTGTGTCTCCACTCAGAAACTTAAGTCACCGCTCGCCAACTTAACATCATGAAAAGTTTCTGAACTTGGGGTCTCACACTATGTATAGATTATCCCAACAAACACAATTACATACCAAAGACGTACAGAAGGTGTAACGTTATGACATACTGTACGTTCGTAAGACGTCGATTTTAGAGCCAAGTACGTCTTGAAGACGTAATGAGCAAGTCGTATGTCACCTCCATAATACGTCTTAAAGACGTACAACTTAGAGCCATAAAGAACGTCCATAATACTTCTTGAAGACCTAATTAAGTACATATTGCAAACCAAATAAAAGAGGAATTTTTTACTCAAATCGTTTATTATTTATTCGCTATTAGCTTACTAAACCTGGAATAACAACAAAAGAAAAACATCAATTCAAAAGTATTGCAACTATATACCCACATAAATAAAGCATAACCTAAAAGAACTGCAACAACATTCTGTTGAGGATTGATTGGGTTGGGACTCTGGTAAACTAATTAGCATAATACTGTTTCACTGAACTGACTGAACTTATATTGACACAAAAAAAAGCCCTATTTTTGCACTAAATATTGTTTATAAAATCCCCTAAAAGTAATTAGCTGTTGCATTTTTGGTTTTTAGCATCTATAAATGATCCTTAACAATACTGCATCGATAGTTTGCTGTTAAATTTTATGTTACGAAAAAATCTATCTGGCCTGGCCTATTTATTTATTATTAAAATTGGGAATATTCTGTCTATAACAACCTCCTGTTCTGGAAACATCCATCAACATCACAATAACACATAAACTTTTTTGCTTATCTCACTTCTGAATTTGTAGGGATGGGTTTAATTAACTAAATTGTTGCTGTATTTTCTTTATTAAATAATTTTCACATAACTTTTGCACAAAATTTCTAACAGGCTTCTAACCTAACGTGTCGTTCGCCACCTCACATTAGGCAATTCCATCCATCTGTGAGATAGGGGAATTCAATATGGCGTGGCGGCCAAGCAAGTTTGTTTTGAATGTGTTTTTATGCGTATTTCAAAATTATTTTGCTTAGAGTTTTGCTTGCAACTTTGATTTGGACTATTTAATAAAATATTTGTTGACTAGGTACCTAAACTAATAAATCGAGCAGATTCTAGATATTTTTTTCTGTTTTTTGGCCCATGTGTGGCCGCCGCGCCATCTTGAAAGTCACGTGGTTTGAATTGCCTAATAAGACATAAAGACATAACCTCAATCTCGGAACAAGGATATTACACCTCTCTTTCGCTAACTACCCTAACATCTACGTCATCATTTATCAAATTTCAAAATGACCATAAATGAGAGCGAAATTCAAAGAAAATCTGTTTTTTTTTTAAATATAATTCCCCAAATCAAAAATTAAGTAACTATGTTGGCAAGACAAGGCTTTTCTACATAAAAAATTTGAAAGCATTGACAATTTCACATTGTATTGCCAACATAATGTCATTTTGACTTTTATCTTTAAAAAAAAACCAGACTTTATTCAAATTTAAATTCCTACAGATCTGTTTGTATTTTACACTTTAAACATAAAACCAAAATGGTGGACGTAACTGTACGTAATATGGATGTTTAATATGTACTATAACGTACTTATTTTGGCAATTGCTTAATTATACTGCATACGGCTAGTCAGCATCAGTCCGGAGGCCATGTGTCTATGGGTTCCTTGTATACATCTTACCTTTGGGCGCCACATAGTTAATTGTGACTTAACTAGGAAGATTACTTATTGATGTTATAACAAAACCTGTGCAATTGGAGAGCTTATCAATAAAACAACTAATTAGGTACAATAATGTATCTGGCTTCTTTATTAAAAAATAACAATAATAAATATGGATTTTAAGTAAACATGACTAAAAACCTTTTGGTATTTACACTTGTGAGTGATAAGAAAAATACAGTATGGGTTACACTTTACCAACAGGCAAATTAAACACAGAAAGATGAAAGTTAGGGCAACCTCAGGGTAAAATTCTAGAATTTTATTTAAGGGGCACTTACCGAACCTAATTCAGTATCCAGTGATTTGCATAGGATTTGCCTATATAGTAAAACGTGTAACTTACATGTGATACAAGTGTTTGTTATCTTCACATGTATGTGTAAATCCAGAAATTCCAAAAGTGAGGTTACCTACATGTTTGGTCTCACTGTAGATAGACAATGGTATGATAAGTGAGTCATGAGTCCTATCCACGTGGTATCTGTTTAACGTAGAACTCAATGTGGTTCTAGCAGAGCGGTACCAAGAGGGTTGCTGAAGGGAGGCTACCCAAGCCAACTAAGAGCAATCTAGATCTA